TTTGTTATTGTTGTTGCAGTTTGGCTGGGGCCGGGTTTGAAACAGCCACCCTTGGTATATGGGGCCGGCACCCTACTCACTGAGCCACAGGTACTGCCCAATACTGTACAATCTTAATTAGGAATACAGTGGTATCTGTTTATTTACTTATTTGAGACAGAGTCTCACTATGTCATCCTGGGTAGACTGCTGTGGCATCATAGCTCACAACAACCTCACACTCCTGGGTTCCAGCAATCCTCTTGCCTCAGCCTCCAGGGTAGCTGGGACTACAGGTACCCACCACAGTGACCAGCTATTTTTTTTTTTTTGTTGTGACAGAGTCTGACTCTGTTGCCCCAGGCTAGAGTGCTGTAGTGTCATAGCTCAACAACCTCAAACTCCCAGGCTCAAGTGATCCTCCTGCCTTGGCCTCCCAGGTATCTGGGACTACAGGTGTGTACCAGTTGTTTATTTTCAAATGAAAGTTATAAAGAGAAAAAGAAACCATTTGTCAATTTTTAATTAAATGAGGACACAAACTGCTCCATTGTAATTATTAATAAAAAGAGATGTTGAAAGTAAACTCATTTGCTCCCTTAAGATGTAAGGTTTTTTATTTTTGTGGGGTTTGTTTGTTTGTTTGTTTGTTTTTTGAGACAGAGCCTCAAGCTGTCACCCTGGGTAGAGTGCTATGGCATCTCAACTCACAGCAACCTCCAACTCCTGAGCTCAAGCGAGTTTCTTGCCTCAGCCTCCCAGGTAGCTGGGACCACAAGCACCCGCCACAACGTCCAGCTATTTTTTGGTTGCAGCCGTCATTGTTATTTGGTAGGCCTGGGCTGGATTCGAACCCACCACCTTAGGTGTATGTGGCTGGCACCTTAGCCACTTGAGCCATAGGCGCCGAGCCTGTTTGTTTGTTTTTGAGACAGAGTCTCAGTTTGTCGCCCTCGATAGAGTGCCATGGCATCACAGCTCACGGCACCCTCAAACTCTTGGGCTTAAGTGATTGTCTTGCCTCAGCCTCCCAAGTAACTAGGACTATAGGTGCCTGCCACAACGCCCAGCTATTTTTAGAGATGGGGGTCTTGCTCTGGCTCAGGCTAGTCTTGAACCAGTAAGCTCAGGCAATCTACCTGCTTCGGCCTCCCAAGTGTTAGTATTATAGGCACGAGCCACTATGCCTGGCCAAACAAAGACTTATATTTTATTCAAATAATCACATTTACCTCTTTTATATTAACACTCCAAAAGCCACTTATGTTTATTCTAGCTTCTTACTTACTGCTTTATACTATGAATACTATGAATGTTTAACTATTTCCTTTAGCAGAACTAACTATATTGAGGTACCCTTGTATTTTCTTTCTGGGGTCAGCGTAACCTTTCAATAGATTCATCTGCAGAATATGTTACTTTTATTTTTTAGATTTTTTTATTAAATCATAGCTGTGTACATTAATGCAATAATGGGGTACAGTATGGTGTTTTCATATACATTTTGAAATACTCTCATCAAACTGGTTAACATGGCCTTCATGTCATTTTCTTAGTTATTGAGTTAAGACATTCATACTCTGCTTTTAGAAAGATTCACTTGTACCCCTGTAGGATAAATCATAGAGGTGAATCTACCAATCACCCTCCCTCCTTCCAGAATATGTTACTTTTAACACAGTAAATATTCATATATAATCCCTATGTATGATCTTCCCTTACCCCAGAAAAAAATCAGTGCCTTAGCTTTAAAATCTATTGTAAATCTTCTGTTTTGGGAATAATTTTATAAAAGAGTGGTTATCAGACCATTTGTCTCTAGGAAAACATGTTGTTCTGTTTATTGTTAAGTCTAAAATAAATGTCATGCTGTCAGAATGTTACCTGAGGTTGGTTTCGTGTTGGCTGAAGAAACAAGGTTAGTGAGGTTAACAACCGCTTCAGATGTGATGATGAAGGGAGCAGCAACAGTCATAGGACTAGGCACAGGGTCCACACTCTCAGGATTCACATTCACTTGGTTTTGCATTGCTTCCTACCAAACAAGACAGGCTATTTCAAAGTCAGAAGACTGAGTAGCTTTAGTTATGCAGCTAAAGTTATTCAGCTTTAGTTACTGAATAGCATGCCCCCAACCCCACCTCCAAGCTCTATCAAGCAGAACTGGGATAACAGATATGTTAGGTTGTTTTCCCAAACTTGTTTCTACTTGAGAAAATCAAAGGCTTATCATTTGCAAAAACTTCTGGACAATTCAGTTAACCTCTCTGGATCATGTTTTGTTTATCTGAAAAAACAAGAAAGTTGGCCTGAATAGTCTAAAAAGTAATTTCCAGCACTAATACTTTGTGACCAATTATCTACATGTCAATGTGCTAGCAGGAGTACCCACAGGAACAATTAATCTCTAGAATTTCATCCAAATACTTGTTCCATTCTACCACTGAAGAAATTCCTAAGAGAATACATAACAAGTAAATAGCTAAATGCCACATTTTAAAGCCTAGTTCCATATGCTACATTTTTGCTTCCAGAGATATTGCTCAATTTTGGTGAGAAGATACTCATCTTTATTTAATTTTTTACTTTCAGAAGCAATTTTTTTTTTGTTTGTTTGAGACAGAGTCTATGTTGCCCTCACTAGATTGCTGTAACATCACAGCTCACAGCAACCTCCAACTCTTGGGCTTAAGTGATTCTCTTGCCTCAGCCTCCCAAGTAGCTGGGACTATAGGCGCCTACCACAACACCCAGCTATTTTTTGGTTATAGTTGTCATTGTTATTTAGGAGGCCTGGGCCAGATTCCAACCTACCAGACCTGATGTATATGGCCAGCACCCTAACAGCTGAGCTACGGGCACTGGGCTTTCAGAAGCAATTTTCTAGAAATATGATCACTACTAAAGAAGTCCTATTATGAAAGGGCTCTAAACAAAGAATTCAAAGTTGGATAGGGTAACAGGTCTATAGGGAACCATCTGTCAGGAAAAACAAACAAGGGAGGTGCCTGTGGCTCAGGGGGCAGGGTCCCGGCCCCATATACGGAGGGTGGTGGGTTCAAACTCAGCCCCTACCAAACTGCAACAACAAAAAATAGCCGGGTGTTGTGGCAGGCGCCTGTAGTCCCAGCTACTTGGGAGGCTGAGACAAGAGAATTGCCTAAGCCCAGGAGTTGGAGGTTGCTGTGTGCTGTGACGCCATAGTACTCTACTGAGGGTGATAAAGTAAGACTCTGTCTCTAAAAAAAAAAAAGAAAAAGAAAAAAGAAAAAAACAAAAAACTGAAAATGCAGCAGAAATGGCTATTTTTCATATATCATTATCCCCCTAACAGCTTCGATGAAACAGGTTATTTATTCTCTGGATACTGTTAAATTCCTTCTTGAATCTGCCCATTTTTCTATCCTCTACTATCACTTCTTTAGTTCAAATCCTCATTAGCTATTACCTGGCCTAAGAAAATTTGCCACATCCTTATTTAGCATTAAGTGTCTTCTCTTTCTTTTTTTTTGATGCAGAATCTCACTATGTCACCCTCAGTAGAGTGCAGTGGCATCACAGCTCACAGCACCTCCAACTCCTGGGCTCAAGCGAGTCTCCTGCCTCAGCCTCCCAAGTAGCTGGGACTAGAGTTCCCCGTCACAACACCTGGCTATTTTTTGGTTGCAGCTGTCATTGTTGTTTGGCAGGCTAGGGCTGGATTCAAACCTGCCAGCTCAGGTGTATGTGGCTGGCGCCTTAGCTGCTTGAGCCACAGGCGCCGAGCCAACATTGTTCTTTAATGATGAACAATTCAGGGATTAGTAAATTTTTTTAAAAAATAGGCAAAAAACCAGTGCAATATAGATTTTTTTTTTGAAACAGAGTCTCACTATGTCACCCTCAGAGTGCTGTAGAATCATAGCTCACAGCATCCTCAAAATTCTGGGCTCAAGCAACTCTCTTGCCTCAGCCTCCCAAGCAGCTGGGACTACAGGTGCCTGCCATCACGCCCAGCTATTTTTTTGTTGTAGTTGTCATTGTTCAGCAGGCCCAGGCTGGGTTCAAACCTGCCAGCCCTGGTGTATGTGGCCAGCACACTAACCACTGAGTATAGGCACTGAGCCTGAGACAACAGTCTCGAGCTGTCACATTGGGCAGAGTGCTGTGATGTCACAGCTCACAACAACTCTTGGGCTCAAGTGATCCTTTGCCTCAGTTTTTCTATTTTTAGTAGACACATGGTCTTGCTTTTTGCTCAAGCTGGTATCAAACTTGTGAGGTCAAGCTATCCACCCACTCAGTCTCCCAGAGTGCTAGGATTACAGGTGTGAGCCACTGCACCTGGCTAGCATAGTTTTCTTTTTCTTTTTTCTTTTTTTTTTTTTTTTTTGAGACAGAGTCTCACTTTGTGGCTCTTGGTAGAGTGCCATAGTGTCATAGCTCACAGCAACCTCAGATTACTGGGCTCAAGTGGTTCTCTTGCTTCAGCCTCCCAAGTAGCTTTGACTATAGGCACCCGCCACAATGCACGGCTATTTTTAGAGACTGGGTCTTGTTCCTGTTCAGGTTGATCTTGAACTTGTGAGCTCATGTGATCCACCCACCTCGGCCTCCCAGAGTTCTAGGTTTACTGGCTGAGCCACTGCCTGGCCCTAGAATTCTTTTTTGTTTTTTTTCTTAAAGATACTAGGCCAGGTGCAATGGCCCACTCCTAGACTGAGGTGGGTGGATCGCCTGAGTTCACGAGTTCCAGATCAGCCTCAGCAAGAGACCTCATCTTTAAAAAAAAAAAAAAAATAGATGGGCAGGCCTGGTTCGGTGGCTCATGCCTGTAATCCTAGCACTCTGGGAGGTCAAGGCAGGTGGATTGCTTGAGCTCAGGAGTTCAAGATCAGCCTGAGGAAAAGCGAGACTCCCCCCATCCCTACCCCATCTCTACTAAAAATAGAAAAAACTGAGGCAAGAGGATTGCTTGAGCCCAAGAGTTGGAGGTTGACGTGAGCTGTGACACGATAGCACTCTACCCAGGGTGACAGCTTGAGACTCTGTCACAAAAAAAAATTGCTGGGTGTTGTAGTGAGCACCTTGTAGTACCAGCTACTTGGGGCTAAGGCAAGAGAATTGCTTGAGCCCATGAGTTTGAGGTTTCTGTAAGCTGTGACACCATAGCACTCTACCAGAGGTGACAGAGTAAGACTCTGTCTCCAAAAAAAAAAAAAAATACTAGTTGGCTGGGCATGGTGGTGCACACCTGTAATCCTAGCACTCTGGGAGGCCAAGGAAGGGGGACTGCTTGAGCTCAAGAGTTCAAGACCAGCCTGAGCAACAGTAAGATCTCATCTCTACAAAAAAAAATATAAAACTAGCTAGGCATAGTAGCACATGCCTGTAGTCCCAAGCTACTTGGAAGGCTAAGGGAGAAAGATTACTTGAGCCTAAGAGTTAGAGATTGCTGTAAGCTATGATGCCATCCACGGCACTCTACCTAGGGTAACAGAGTAAGAGTCTGTCTCAAAAAAAAATTAATTTAAAAAAAGATACTAATGACACTAAATCATAAGATTAAAACATATTCAAAGTACTACTTTGATAAAATATGTAAAATTCAGTTTTGATTCAAATCCTATAAAAAAAATCCTTAACTTCAGGCTCAGTGTCTGTAGCTCAGTGGCTAGGGCACCAGACACACACTGGAACTGGAGGGTTCGAACCCAGCCCAAGCCTGCCAAACAACAATGACAACTATAACAAAAAAATAGCCCCGTGTTGTTGTCGGTGCCTGTAGTCCCAGCTACTTGGGAGGCTGAGGCAAGAGAATTGCTTGAGCCCAAGAGTTTGAGGTTGCTGTGAGCTGTGACATCATGGCACTCTACTGAGGGCGACACAGTGAGACTCTGTCTCAAAAAAAAAAACAACCCTTAATTTCAAATAAAGTATACTCTGGGGAATAGAAAAAGAACCACACCTGGAGGACGACCAAAATCTCAGCATTGTTTTTTTCCAGGGCTATGTCAAAAGCAGATTTATCGAATTTGCTAAAAGCATGGATGTCAGCTCCGTATTTGATAAGTAGCTCTACAACATCCCGATGGTGGTGCTCTGTGGCCCAATGCAAAGCTGTCATCTTCAGCATGTCCTTGGCATTCACATCTGCACCATTCTGTCATGGAAAAGCAATTTTTTTCAACAGAGTGTAACATCCCATCATTAAATACAGAATCTTTGTATACAGATTACATATACTCAGGTCACATTTAAGGACTACCACAGGGAAAAACATTTCTCAAATTATTCTAAATGCTGGTAGACATAATGCTTTCAATGAGTGGGTTCTCTAAGGACAAGAGAATCTATTGAGCCTAAGAGTTTGAGGTTGCAGTTAGCTATGTGCAACAGCACTCTATCGGGGCTGATAAAGTGAGATTCTGTCTCAAAAAAATGAAAATAATTAGGCTCAGCGTCTGTGGCTCAAGTGGCTAAGGTATCAGCCACATACACCTGAGCTGGTGGGTTTGAATCCAGCCCAGGCCTGCCAAACAATAATGACGGCTACAATCAAAAAAATAGCCAGGCATTGTAGCGGGTGCCTATAGTCCCAGCTACTTGGGAAGCTGAGGCAAGAGAATCGCTTAAGCCCAGGAGTTGAAGGTTGCTGTGAGCTGTGATGCCACGGCACTCTACCCAGGGGGACAGCTTGAGGCTCTGTCTCAAAAAAAAAAAAAAAAATCAGAAAACAAACTCTTAATATCCATCATGACTCCTGGGAGTCATGCCACAAACTGCCCTATACTTAACCCTTCCCAGCCTAGTTTTTCTACCATTCATTTAAGTAAAAAAACAAGGAGGTGGATGTCATTTCTACAATATAGCCCCACCACTATTCTTTACCCTAACAAGAAGTTCCACTATGTGCGCGTGTCCGTCAGCTGCAGCCATGTGCAAGGGCGTCCTGTCCACTTTGGTCCGAGCATCCCTGCTAACGCCTGCTCGAAGGAGCACTTCTGCTGTGGAATAATGACCATACTGAGCTGCAAGGTGAAGGGGTGATGTTCCAAGCTGCAGGAAAATAATACTCATTGACTATGCATAATGTGCAGAGTCCTAGATCATTACTGAGTGACCTGAGTGAACAAGAGGTGAAACCTATGAGTCTAGCCTTCAAGAGAGAAGTTCCCAGAGTTCTGGGATGGTATATTTATTTGCCTCCCAGAATTCTAGGTTTACAGGCTGAGCCACTGCCCGACCCTAGAATTGTTTTTTGACATAGTGAGACCCAGAGTTTTTACAGGCAAATAAATACACCATCAATTAAATAAGTATAATGGCTTTAAGTCAGGTGGATTTATCAGGTAAGATTCCACAAAGGACATGATTTTATGCAGGAATTAGAAGAAGGTTAAAAAAAAATTAGCTAGGCATGGTGGTGCTGGCCTGTAGTCCCCAGCTAGTAGGAAGGCTAAGGCAGAAGGATCACCTGAGTTGAAGTTTGAGGTTGCTCTGAGCTACGCTGATGCTGTGACACTCTAGCCGAGGTGACAAAGCTAGATTCTGTCTCAAAAAAAAAAAAAGAAGGATCAAAAGGAGTGGTATCCACTTCTCTGGGGTGGTGCCTGTAGCTCAGAGGGTAGGGTGCCGGCCACATACACTGAGGCTAGGGGTTTCAAACCCAGCCCCAGCCTGCTAAAACAACAATGACAACTGCAACAGTAACAAAAAAATAGCCAGGTGTTGTGGTGGGTGCCTGTAGTCCCAGCTACTTGGGAGGCTGAGGCAAGAGAATCATTTAAGCCCAAGAGTTTGACGTTGCTGTGAGCTGTAACACCATAGCACTCTACCCAGAACGACAGCTTGAGACTCTGTCTCAAAAAACAAACAAACAACAACAACAACAAAAACCACTCTGGGCTGGGCAGGGTGGCTCATAGCTGTAATCCTACCACTCTGGGAGGCCAAGGCTGGTGGAATGCCCTGAGCTAACAGGTTCAAGACCAGCCTGAGCAAGAGTCGCTAAAAAAACAATACCTATGTATTGTGGCCGGTGCCTGTAGTCTCAGCTACTTGGGAGGCTGAGGCAAGAGAATCATTTAAGCCCAAGAGTTTGAGGTTGTTGTGAGCTATGACACCATGGCACTCTACCAAGGGTGACAAAGTGAGACTCAATCTCCAAAAAAAAA